ATAAGATAGAAGCCCTTTTCCATTGTTTTTATGTGGTCTTGATTTTTTCCCATGCTTCCTCCTCAGGGACTTTCACCTAGCACCCTCTCTCCAGGATATGCTCCCTTTCTTTCATCCTGTAGTCATTCAAAAATCCAAAGATTAGAAATAAAGCATGTTGGGTACACATGCACCATGTGTAAGGTGAATTTATAATCCTTTCTTTTTAGTAAAATATAAAAGCTGGTGGCTTCAATGTCTGTTAGAATGTAAGCTCCATGAAGGTAGGGAGTTCTGTCTGTTTTGTTCACTGATATATCCCAAGCTCCTAGAACAGTTCCTGGCACACAGTGGGTGTTCAATAAGTACCTGTTGAAGGAATTAAGGTTTTTATATTTGTAGTCTAATTTTAATCCTCATTGTTGTGCTATGGAAAGCATATTGATATGTTATATACAGCACATATTTTAGGAATGGATAATTTCCTAGAAACATACAACCTACCAAGACTGAATCATGAAGAAATAGAAAATCTGAGCAGACCAGCTACTGGTAAGGAGGATGAATCAGTAATCCAAAAACCTCCCAATGAACAGCTATAAAAATAAAGGAAATCCTGCCATTTGCAACAACATGAATGGACCTTGAGGATGTTATGCTAAGTGAAATGAGTCAGACAGAGAAAGATGAAAGTACTGTATAATCTCACTTATATGTGGTATCTGAAGAAAAACCCAAAAGACAAAAAACCCAAACTCATAGATACAGAGAAGAGATTGGTTGTTGCCAGAGGTAGGGATTGGGGAGGGAGGCTGAAATGGGTGAAGGTGGTGGAAAGGTACACATTTCCAGTTATAAAATAAGTCCTGGGAATGTAATGTATAGCCTGGTGACTACAGTTAATAACACTGTATTGTATATTTGAAAGCTTCTAAGAGAATAAATCTTAAAAGTTCTTATCACAAGACAAAAATGTGTAACTACGTGTGATGATGGATGTTAACTGGACTTATTGTGATGCTCATTTCACAATATATATATACATTGAATCATTACATATGCCTGAAATGAATATAATATGTCAATTATATCTCAATTTAAAAAGCACATAATTTAAATGTACCGGTGATCTCATACAGACTTCTAAAATAAACTTAAAATGTAATAAGAATATTGACTGGTTTTTGCCACACTGGAAATCAGCTTCAACGTCTGTATAAATAGGTGGCAGAAGTGGAATAAATGTATAAATGGAAGATTTAGGATCTTCTATCTCTAATAGTCCATATTTCTATTTCTCAGTTTGCCTGAGTTTGATCAAGTATAAATCTTGCCCTATTTTCATTCATTGGTTCTCCATTTTTTCCTTCTGGGAATTCATTCTTCTTCTTTTTTTCCTTCACAATTTTAAGACAACTGATGTTCTCTTGGATTTACGTCTCATCATCACAACACACCCATCCTTCCCCGCACCATTTCTAGTCCCCTTGATTAAACTTGTTTCTCGAGTGTTCCCAGACCTGGATTACTATCATCACTGAGACACACTCTCCAGTCGCATGAGAATCCTCCCCAGGGCTATTGATCTCATTGCTTCCTTCCCCCTACAGGACCATGAGCCATCGTCCAGGTCCGGTGCCCTCTCTCTAGACACTTCTCCTTCCCTGCTTCCTCTCTTCATCTTATCAACATTCTCCTGTCTCAGGACTTCCCTGATGATGCAGTGGTTAAGACTCTGCGCTCCCAATGCAGCAGGCCCGGGTTTGATCCCTGGCCAGGGAACTAGATTCCACATGTATGCTGCAACTAAGAGTTCGCATGCCACAACTAAGGAGGCTGCCAGCTGCAACTAAGACCTGGCACAGCCAAATTTAAAATAACTATTTTGAGCTCTGGAAGACCATTAACTTCCCTTAAAAAAAATTCCCCTGTCTCTTGCACACTAAAAACAAAACCCCTCTACTGACCCAGGCTTCCCCTTCTCTCTCTTTTCCTGTAAAATGGTAGCATCATCTCACTGTTTTTATTTCTTTACCTCTATAGCTCAACTAACTGTAAAAAATCTTTCACTCCCATTCACTCAAGATGGTGTTTTAAAGTCACTTATAACCACTTAACTGCCAAATTCAATTAACACATGTCCTTATCTTGTTTGACCCCTTGGTAGCACTTAATACCTTGGACCTTTCCTTCCTTGTTAGAATTCTTTCATCCTGTGTTTCCACAACCCCTGCTCTATAAATGCACCTTCTACCACCTTCACCATTCCTTTAAAGTGAGGGTTTTTCATTTGTTTTGTTTTATTTTATTTTTTGCATACCCTCTCATTTTACAAGCAAATGTTGCTTTCCAGAGCTCTGTCCTTGCTCCTGTTCTCAAGCTTACAAAATTTCTATGGGAAAATTATCAACTCCTATCGTTTTAATTTCTACTTCTTTTTTTTTTTTTTTTATGATTCCCACATTTAAATCTTCAGCTGTAAACTCTCTGCTAAACTCCAGATCTCATATTTCTGGTTGTCCTCTGGATATCTTCTCAATATATGTGTTCCTAAGCCTTCTAAAATCTACTAATTTTATTCCCTTCTCTGTGTTATGACAACCGGCCACATTCTAGAGGAAAGAGGCTCCATCACCTTTTATCCTTAAGTGAAGATGATGTGCAGTAGATCCCCCACCAAACAAAAGTGAATATATGACCTGAGTGAGAAGTAAATGTCTATTATTTTAAGCCTATGAGAGTTTGGAGTTATTTGTTATTGCGGTCTAGCCCAGCCCGACCTGACTGATTCAAGATCTAAAACCAAATTCATTGTTGCTTCCTTGAGCACTATTAACAGAATGAAAGAACATAAAAGCAACTCACTTGCTCTTCCTCCTATATTCCGTTCTCCTCATCTTTTTTGAGCCATCAACATCAACCCACGTAAGCAGCCTAGAAACCTAGAAGCATATCTAAACTTCATGTCCACCCACATTTTATGATTCAGGTAGTTCTGCAGATTCTATTTCTAAGTATCCGTCAAATATATTCTTTCATTCCCATCCTTAGTATACATCTTCTCATTATCTGTTGCCTGAACTATTGCAGTGAGTTTGTAAATGATTTCATTGTCTCTAGTGTCAGACTTCCCTAAATCCATATGGCTGCCAGAGTACTTTCTATAAAAAGAAGACTTTGATTATTCCACCCTCCTGCTTAAAATCTCTCACCAGGGCTTATAGAATAAAGCTTAAGTGCTTTATCATGGTATATTAGATTCTAAATAGTCCAAGCCTTTTCTCCCTTCTCAGCCACATCTCTGCTCCAGCAACACCTACTCCCTAGAAGCACTGCCCCTTCTCCCACTTCTGCACCACACACACACACACACACACACACACACACAGACTCCACTATTTCTTGACTGATTCTTCTAGAAATCCCAATTTTGGTTTCTTTCGCTTTAAGAAGGCTTTCCTGGTTGCAACAAACAGACTCATCAATTCCCTCCCTTCTACTACTTCTTTGCTTAAAATGTGCTTTTGTTATTGAACGTGTGGCAATTTAAAAAAATCTTTGCTCATGTGGCCATTGTGATGGCCATAGATGGCAATGACTGTGATCCTCCTGAGAATAGGGGGATATCTTATTCACAGTTATATCTGGAAAGTGCAGACCTTAGCACATTACAGATACCCTAAAAGGTGTTTACAAAATGGATATGATAAACCATTTCATCAGATAGCTTAGCATCTGTTAAGTGTTTAGAGATTTTATATAAAAATATTTATTGAGAGGTTACTATGTGTCAGGCACTGTAGCAAACATTCTATAAGTTTTAGTTTATTTAGCCTAACACTACTTCTAGGGCACTGAGACATGCATTAGATACCTATCCTCACTGATTTCACTATCTGAAGCAAACCCTTTCTCATCTTCCTGACAGGTAGATCATTATAGGCCCTTGGGTGTTAATTAGATGGATTTCTTTCCTACACAGTAATTGAATGGATAGCAGAGACATTATAGCCTACATTTGGGGTTCTTCTCTACAACTTTCAAGAGGAAGTTCAGCTCTATTATTTAAAACATTTTGGACGAAAATCATGACATTTATATATCATCTTTTCTTGGAAGCATAACTTTTTTTTTTTTTAAACCAAGATTCATGGACAGCTGTGATAAGTAAGGGGTAACTTAAATAAGAGAAGCAGGCACAGAGAGGTTGACTAAGTTATTCCACATCATAACCTTCCAGGATTTCATTATTATTCCACACATACCCAACACCCACAAAAGAACTTGCTAATTATCACTGAGTGTCAAAATGCCAAGAGTGACAGAATTGTATAGATGACACTCAAGACTTATCTTTGGAGGACACTGATAAGATGTTGGGGAAAATGGCAAAGACGAGAAGACAGAGTAGAACTCTATGCCAAAATCCTATGACTCCAGGCTCTGGTCCTCTAGGTTGGAACATTCAGTCGTTTACAGTTAAACTCTTGTGAATCTTTAATCTTCAAATAATAATAGGCAGATGGAAGAACCTAGTCTGTCAATACATTAAAAAACAAACAAATCCTCCCCAAACCGATATTCCTTTCGTAAGGAGTGCAGAACCAGTGGCATTTGCTGAAGGCGAAAAGCCGTGAGACTGTCGAGCAGTGATGACCCGCCACTCGGCCTTTTTTTGCAGTAATACACAAAACGTGTACAATCGCTTAAGTTTAACCCGTCCTAGCCTCTTCACTAGGAAACTGGCCGCTCGGGCGAATGTTGTTTTCCAACCCCGCAGACAAGTGTGGAAGAGCGATTAACACTCGCTTGACAAACCCGCTCCCCGGGCCATTTGGGAGTTGCACGCGTTCGCCCTCGGGGTTCGGGCCGCTGCGCCTTCACGCGCAGCCTTTTTGTTTACGCGGCCTGCAGGGGAGAGAGGGGAGGAGTGGGAGAGGACGTGTAAAGATGTAGCGGGCCGCGGGGGCTATATAAGGCTTCGGGCTCGGGCCGGGTGGGTGCCAGGGCCCAGCCTGCCCATGGAGATCGCGGAGACCACGGAGACCCCAGGCGGCCAGCGCGCGCGCTGCCGCCTCCAGGTGCCGGCTGCTCCCGAACGCCAGACGCGGCGCGGGGGCGCGTACTCCGGGTACCGCGTCTCGGTCCCGCCCTGCGCCTCCCCGGCTCCATCCCTCCCGCCTGCGCCTCCTCAGCTCCTCCCCTCCGCTCTCTCACCCCCGCACCCTCCAGGCCCTCGCTCAGATGCGGTCGGTTCTCCCGGGTCGGGGCTCACGGCTCCTCTGCGCGCCTTCCGCTGCCCACCTCGCAGATCCGCAGGCTTCTGGAGACCGTGGGTGGAAGACAGTGGCGAGGAGGAAGAGGCGCCGCACCACGCCGCGAAGGCGGTGAGTGAGCCGCGCCTCCCGGGGGCGCTGTTGATCGATCAACGCCGGCTACGCCGGGCGCCAGGGAGACGCGCGCCTGGCCTTCCCCTCGCTTAAGATCGCGCCTGCTGGTGGCCGTACCGGTGGCCCTGTCGGTGCTGATGCGACGAGTGAGTCCTCCACAGCTACTGGCACGAACAGATCGGGCCGGGAGCGAGGCTACTGAGAGCCCCGCGGTCACATTCCCTGCAGACGAGAGGAAAGCCTGGTCGCCAGGGTTTGCAGTTTTTTTAGAAGGTGAGTGCTAACTTCGATCCATTTTCTTACACCCCCAGATGCCAGATGGCCCCGGAATAACGGACGCCTCAGAAAAGCTTTCCCGATACAGACACCCAGTCAGGTGAGTGACGGGCCTCATCGAAGGTCTGTCTGCAGACACAGGGAAGGGCCGGGGGCCTCGTCCGGCCCTACCCAGCAGCTGGTCCTGAAGTTTTTCTCTTTTGGAAAATCTATCTTTACCGTTTCTTTATCTTCCTCGTCCCAGAGGTCCTTTACTCATCGAACTGGAAAATGTAGGAGCTCACGCTCTCCCCTAAAAGAACTGTTAATCAGTGCACACTTAGTAAACGCTTAAAAATATATTATGAAGAGGGAAAGCGGGCCGTGTTAGTAAAAGTAGAAAGGTGACATCTTGTGCCTGCAAAACAATTTCTTTTTAATGCCAAAGGGTTCAGTGAAATTGACTTCACACCAGGCAGTGTGTGTTTATTCTTATTCTCTTGCAAACCAGAAGGAAGAATGGTATTCACAATCATGGTTTACAGCAAACTGAACAAATCGAGCTTGACGTGTAAGAGAAAGGAAATATGATGAAAATCCTAAAGACTACTAAGGATCACAAAAGGGACCAACAGTTATTTGACCTAACAATTAGGAGCTAGTTTACTGTTGCTAGCTACTGGGAAGTCAGCCTTCCTGCAAGATTCTTTGTAGCTTTTAATCAGGTGGAAAGTTAATTCTGCAGTTTGCCTGCCTTAGAGAGCTGTTAGATGAAGAGCTATATAATGTTTGTAGAGTGTGTATATGTTTATAATAGCACATAGTAGTCGATACATGTTGATTAATTTCCTACCCTTTGCTAGAACTTGTGAAGGACAGAGAAAAAAATTAATCACAGCCCTTTGGAAGTGTTTTAATAGTTTAGCTTGTGACCAAGGTCAATTTTATGCCTAACTCTGTCAGAGGGGGTGGAGAAGGGTCAGGGAAGTGTGTATCATAGGTGTGATTACCTGGCTGAGTCTTGAAGTTAACCAGATGGATGGTAGGTCAGGAACGTGGGAGCAGAAGAAATAGCATAGCAAAAGAGAACAGCATGGTTCCTTCTGGGAGCACCAAGGAACTGGCATTTGGGTGTGTGAAGCTGTGGTCATTTCACCAGGGAAGCCAGAGGCCAGGTCTTGTGCACCTTGGTACAAGAGTTTTGTCCTGATCCTGTATGTGGCATTGGGAACTCATGGACTTTATTCTGTAGGTGGTATTGGGGATTACTCAAAGGATTTTAACCAAAAGAGTAATGTGATCAGATTTATGTTTCATAAAAATCACCAAAAGTGAAATTGGAAGTTATTGCAGTTCAGGCATTGGAAGCGAGGATGGGACTGGGTGAATCTGGGGAATACTTAGGTGACACAGTGGATTAGGCTTATGATGTATTGGATATGGTAGGTAAAGTAGAAGTAAAAAGACAGAATGACGCCCAAGTTGGTGGAACTGTAGATCTGGGGAGCAAGATACTGAGTCGAATTTTCCATTTGTCATATATAATGTGCCTATGGTGCCTCCAAATAGATATTCCAGTAGAGAGCAGCATATACAGGTCAGTGGTCCAAAGTCAAGTTCTTAAGTGGAAATACAGACAGACTTGGGAACCTTTGGTAAATGAACAATTGGGGAAATCATGGCAGTGGGTCAGGTGATCTGGAGGAGTGAGAGAGGAGAGATGATCACTCTTGATAAAATGGTGGGGGAAGGCCAGCATCTAACCTGTCTACAGAGAAAGAGAGGTCCACAAAGGTGGCTGGGAAGACTCACTCAGAACAGGGTAGAATTCAGTAAAGTATGAAGGCCCTGGAAGAAAAATGGCCTGTGAGAGATTCCGGGGGAGAGAGAGTGTGATAACAATTAAACAACGTTCTTTTGGTTTGGCAGTTTTACACATTAGGAAACCAATTGCTTCCTATATAAGCACTTCCGTTTTTGAACTACTGTAGCAGTTTCTTTGTATTTCTCTTAAGTTTATTGTATTTTTATTAAGTTCTATCTTGAGTAGTAATGTGTGTTTCTGATTCTTTTTACTCAGTTGTCAACTTCCTGAAGGTAGGGACCATGATTTATTCATCTTTGAATTATATTTGGTGCAAGAGATCACTAAAGTATTTATTGAATGACTGAATTACTGATGGTTGTTTATTTAGGCACCCAGTTTATAAGCTTAAAAAAAGCTATTTGGCTAGAAACGTTTATAAACTACACGGCCTACTTTTTTGCCTTTTAAAATAGAGTATAGTGAACATATGTAACTTTCTGTTTGTTAGAATCAGTCTATTATATGGGTATGTGGGGCTATTTATTCTATACTAAAATACTGTGTACTGTAGCTGGTGATTCAGCCTTGTCCTTTTATTTTACTTGGATGAAAAATAATAGAAGATCAGATGGCAAGATTAATATTTGTTGGAAATTTGAAGTTTTGAGGTAATCACGTTTACATACAAATTATTTGTATAAAACCAGTCTAATTCTCAACATCTTAATATGGTGTTCCAAAATTTAGTTGGGTGGGGAAAGGGGAGAGAGATGGGCTTGAGGTTGGGGTCAGAGGTAGCCTTTTGAAAAGGTTGCTTTGTGTACTTTTCTAAACTTGCTTTGGTTCCATCTGTAACTAAGAGCTAAGTCTGAGTTTCAAGCAAAATACTAGGAAATTTCTGCCTATGTGTAAGATGCATAATATTTTGACGTCTTTATAAGGTTGGCTATCATCACAATTTTTAATGTCATGGTAGGATTCATTTTTTTTTCCCAAAGGAATAAGGAAGACAAACCTTCTTCTGTATTTTGTAAGAATAAATATATCCATAATGCCTGAAGTAAGTTAAATGTTGATCTTATGCTCATGAAGGGTTTAGTGTCAATTTGTTTGGTCCAATTTATAGCTTGGATAAAGATTTAAAGTAATTAACCAGTTATTGTTACATTGTCAAGTAGACTCTGTGAAAGCTGTGATAGTAGCATTTAAACTATCTAAATGCATAAATCAGTTGTTAAATATATGGAGATTTTGAAATGTGAACGTTTAATGAGTAGAAGGATTCTGAATGTGAAAAAAATAAAGCATATTATGTTGTCTGCTTCTTTCAGACTATTTTGGCCAAAATCAAAGTGTTACGATTACTTATATCAAGAAGCAGAAGCTCTTCTGAAAAAATTTCCAATTCAAGCCACAATTTCATTTTATGAAGATTCTGATAGCGAAGAAGAAATTGAGGAGCTGATCTGTGAAAATTAATCTGATTACTTTTGATGACATTCAAAGCTTGTAGGTACAAATTAGATTAGTGTATAAATGTATCATAATCCTTTTAAATTAACTTATTTGTATATAAATTATTAATAAAATGAACTATTTAGTAATTACTATGGTAGTTTGGCCTTTTTTATCCCTACACTATAATTCAATGTTGGAATTTAAAAATAGGTTTTATTTATAATGGAACCTTGATTGTATTATAAACATTTGGGGCTTATAAAAGATAATTTGGTTCTCTTCATCAAATTACAAATTTCTCTTCAGTCATAATTTTGAAAATAAAACTTTTCAAAGAAAGACAATATTTAATTTTCAACACTGAATCTTGTAACATCTGGTATTTCCTACCATTGGATGTTGTAGTTACAGATGAATATTATCTTACTAGATAATGAGGACAATCCCCTTATGTTTCCAACCACACATTATTATTATGTATTAGCTGGTAGATGGTGAAAATGTTGTAAATCATTGTCTATAATTGAGACTGGGAATCAATGTTAAGGCTATTAAATTGTAGGGATTTTAATGAATGATGAGTCAAGTAATTCTTACTTTAATACCCTTCTGCTGTCCTCAAATCCAGTAGTAAAATAGCATGGGTGTTTAGTACTTATGGCACTACATTGAGGGATCCCCAGAATTAAAACAAAACATTTAAATGGATGTGACTTACATGGAGTCTAAAAAAGGGGAGACAAAAGGCCAGAATTTGATAGTATTGTTTTTCCATTTCTGTCCACGAGGGAGGAAATTTGGGAGATAGGAGACATTCTCCAACAGCATCACCTTCCATCGCTGCTGTGGTTCTCTGCTACTGATACTCATGTAATGATTTTCACATAGGAAGTGAAATAAGAAATTCTCAGAGATTAGCTTTTTGTGTGTGTTAAACATAGACTTATAGAAGAATACATCATCTTTTAATGAAAGAGAAAACAGGAGCACTTTGCATGGGAGAGGTAACATAGTAAACTATGATCATGAAGTTCTTTTAGCTCAAATACAATCTTTGCAGTGGCAAGCAATTGAAATATAAGCATTGATTTCCAGGCACTTTAAGGACAAAGGAATTGAAATAGAGCAAGTTCAAACCATGTTTCAGAGTCAGGAAAAGTTAGTAATGGCAGGAGGATGGAGAGTTACTTAGAACTATATTTCTTTTCCTGAAAACTTCTTTCACTGGGTTCTGCTCTCAGGATATGTGTGTTCCCCGAGAGATATGCAAAAAAACCACCAGGTCACCAATCTGGACCTTGAGTATTAGGGACTGGTGTTTACCTGCACAGTATTTGTGCTGCTGTCATTAATATGGTGGAATAGTATGAAGAGCCACAGCCACATTTATTGAGTGCCTACTATTAGCCAGGCACTGTGCTAGGTAATTTGCACTTGACGTCTCACTTAATTCTTACTAAAACCTAAATCCATTATGCAGATGGGAAATGAGGCATTGAGATACTAAAGTAACCTGCAGAAGGATGCTCATTTAGTAACTGCAGGGGTGGCATCCAAACTAAACCTATCTGACTCTTAAACGTGGCTAGCTGTTCAGTGCTACATTTGGACGTAGGCTGCATCAGTTCTCAGTCCCCTTTATCTTTCAGGGAAGAGAGGAAGTTAGATGAGGAGGAAGAACTTGTGAGTGGGTGAATGGAGCAGAAAGAGACTTTACTAACCTCTGCGACTCATTCGTTAATCATTAGCGAGAGTTCTTAAAGGTGAAGTGTTCTCTTCACCTAGCAGGAGTGACTGTTTACATTTGACATCTTAACTCTTAAAGGTTCTCTTTCCTGTACAGCGTGGTGCCTTAGAAGAGAGAGTTTCTGAGAAATCAAAATGCCTTAATTGTACTATTTTATTCCATATTTCAAGCAGTGTGATGGTAGTGCTTCAACAATGGGCAGACAGTTGTGTTCTGGGTTAACAGGCGTCTCCAAGAATTTATTCTCAGATTCAGTCAGCACCAAGGCTTAGGAACAGCTTCACCCTTTAATCTTTCCACGGAATAGCTGTCACCTCTTTGCGGTGCTGAAATTCAGGGCGCGGCACGAACGGAGCATGCGTACTTTGCCCTGATTCCACCCCCGCCGGCTCTCCGTTGGTCTCGTTGGCTCCGCCCCTCGCGTCCTCGACGTTCTGCGTCATGGCGCGCCTCACCCCGGGCGACCCCGGAAGTGGGTCGGGGGCTTGGCCTCTGCCCGGCCTTGGAGCCGGAGCCGGAGGTGTTACCCTAGAGGGGTCGCGCCGAGCTATTCCGTCGGGCGGCGTACCCCGGGCAGGGCCCGGGCTAAGAGTCCAGGATGCTGAACGTCCCTTCCCAGTCTTTCCCGGGCCCCAGCTCGCAGCAGCGCGTCTCCTCCGGGGGGCGTAGCAAGGTAAGCGGGTGACTCCGGCGGTCTCGTGCCGCAGCCCTCCCTTCCCGCCAGCGTTTCATGCTCCGGCACAGTCCGTTCTCTCCTTCCGTACCCTCTCCCACCTCCTGTCCCCACCTCTAGCTTTCGTCCCCTCCCGCCCTTGCTGGCGATCTCTTTCAGATCCCATGCCGTTTCCAGTCCTCGAACTCTACTAACCTCCCTGCGTCTTACGTACTGGCCCCTTTTCTTGCCCATCCTTTTATCCCGTTCTGTCAGTTCCCTTCTTCCAACTCTTTCCCCATTTATTAATTTCAGT